GCTTAGAGAGGGCTGAAAGCCCTATGAAGCGGTATATAAGTCTAACTGCTATTGTTACTGCTACTTTATAAAATATAAAGTATGTACATTTGTACAGCACTTTATTAGAATCTACAACAGAATTTGCTGCTTGTAAATACGTCTTAACTTCTAATCACATTGTTCCAAGAAGCTGAAGCCGCTTCTTGGATGACAAGCGAAACATTTTCAAAGAAAAATCAGAAAGTCCAGTGGCCTCTTGAAAAAGCATCTTTGGGACAACCTGGGTGACTGAGAATCTCCATAGACTTCTAATCACATCATTTAAATGCTGTTTTTCCCCATGAAAAAAATTAAAAATTAAAACATTTGTATTCTGTGACAACAGCCACCAAAACCGGGGGGCCTTCCAGATGTGCAGGCTAATGCTACAGATGGAACGAAGAAGATGGGAATTGAAGACCAACTTTTTCCCTATGTATTTGAGACGCCACATTCCCTGGTGGCTGTTGTGTTGATCTGACCTTCTTTGTGGCCGTTCACAGGTATCGGGACCGTCCCCGTGGGCCGCGTGGAGACAGGGATCCTCAAGCCTGGCATGGTGGTCACCTTTGCCCCCGTGAACATTACCACCGAGGTGAAGTCGGTTGAGATGCACCACGAGGCCTTGAGCGAAGCTCTGCCAGGAGACAACGTTGGCTTCAACGTCAAGAACGTGTCCGTGAAGGACATCCGCCGGGGCAACGTCTGCGGGGACAGCAAATCGGACCCGCCTCAGGAAGCGGCCCAATTCACTTCTCAGGTGAGCAGAGGGCGGCCATTTTGAAGAGCTGCGTCATCGGATCCTAGCTGTCGGGAGCAGCAACCAGAGTCATTTCTGGATAGCGAAAGCCAGTTAACTTTATTATCTAGCACCTATGTGACAAGAATCTCTCCAGACTGTGCTTGCCTTCCCCTGGGAATGACCCAGATAAGGATTCAGGGCTCTTGGGGGAAAGTCAAACGTACTTTTTAATATGTTGTCTTTGTCTCGTTTCCCCTCTTTCCCTTGTCTTTTGTGAGCCGCCCGGAATCCTCCGGGAGTGGGCGGCATACAAGACAAATAAATAAATAAGTAAGTAAGTAAGTAAGTAAGTAAGTAAGTAAGTAAGTAAGTAAGTTCCTTACAGCTATGCAAGGATTCCAAGCTAGGCTCTCACTTGATCCCTCCTTCTTAGCCTAGCTGGCAGTTTCCCATGACTAATTTTGGGGGCTATATTTGTATCCCTCCAGGGAGCAAATAGTGACCGTGCTCTTACGGACGTGTTTAGTCAAATCTGGTACAAGTAGTCCTCGACTTAACGACCACAGTGCGGACCAGAATTTTGGTCATAGGTTGGTGTGGTTGCAAATCAAGTCATCACGTGACTGGGCCCAGTTTTGCAACCATGTTTATGATGGTCATAAAGCGAACCGTCAGGGTTGTGGAGCAAATGATGTGGTTATTAAGCAAAGCAATAGCAATAGCAATAGCAA